CTGGGTCCCCGTGTAAGTCCTGCCCTACGGGGAGGTATCACCAGCCCCGTCAGACAGATGGGAAATGCATTCGCTGCACTCCAACTGGACCCCAGACACAGAGCAGGGCTGGGACCTGACCCAGGTCCCCATCGCTCAGGTAAGCACACATACTGGGGCACAATGACTCCCTCCGTGCCCACTGAGCCTCGGGAAAACCTCCACCTAAAGCATCAGTCCTGGGACACCAACACTTTGAGTCCCGTTGGTCATGACAGGCACTTCTGTAGAGGGCAGGCCCAAAGAACACCTTTGACTCGGGCAGAGGAAAGGTGGTCAGAAATTAAAGTCAGCCCTGAAAGCACCAGGACCAAAAATGGGACGGATTCCCCCAGTTCTCAGTGCACAGCTGCCCTTGGCACAAATAGAGCAGAGCAAGCTCAGTCAAAAGGAGGGAAGTGTGCTGCTTAGAGCCTTCAGCATCCAGAACCTCTGGCGATCTGACAGCTGGGAAGACATCACCCAGTGACCCTGGACCCCACCCGGCTGGGCCACTGAGGGCTCCGCTTCCGAGGAGCGAAGGGTGTGCTCAGACAGAGCACACTGAAAACAGCTCCTCGTCTCTGGTTCTGCCTCTGGGTGACACTCCTGCCCATTGCTTACCTGCCATGGGAATTGGGGCAAGACGGTTAACCTCTCTGAACCTGTTTCCACAACTGAAAGCTCAAGATAACCATATTCATGGCACTAAACTGCTTTGATAACTTCTATCAAGCATGCCCTGCAAAGAGTGGATATAAGAGGAACTGTCCTAAGAGGGAGGAAAGAAGATTCTAGGCGCTAGTTGTGTATTTCTTTTGATGATGTTTCTGTCCAGGTGACTTCTGGAAGTTGGATGATTGCATGTTGCAGCTCTCTTCTGCTTTTTTAAAATTCAAATGATCACATCAGTTTAATCTCAGGTATACCATCCATTTCCCTGCCTGTCCCGAGGAGGAAGCAGCGGTGGCCCTTGTCACAGTAGCGCAGGCGTGGTGAGTGGTGTCCTGATGAGAGTCACGCAGGAGCGAACTATCTTCTCTAACTATGTGCCTAACGTTTCCTCAGCAGTAAAACCCGCAGATTGGTCGGGCGGACCTGAGGTTCCTCCCAGATCCAACATTTCAGGATTTTCTGATTCAGAAGCATAAATCATGAGACCAGGACTTAAAAAAAAAGAAATTCCTGTGGATGAGCTGAGATCGTAAAGAATGAAAGTCATTTTCTTGTCGTATGACTTCAGCAGAGGGAGACTGCTTCTCCTGAATGAGAAACCATGTGTCTGTTACACAACAGGATTTGTGTTTGTTTCATTTTTTAAATCCGGCCAGATTAACATTTGAATCTGTGGGAGGAGTGTGATTTTCTAAGAGAGCTTTAGTAAAATGTTCTATATTGTCTTCTGATTTTATTTATATGTAAGATTTGATACAGATATACAATGGAATATATTATATATGTGTCATATGTATGCATGATATACAGCCTATATATATATGTATTTCTTATTTGTAAGTGATGAAGCATAAAAATATTTAAAAATAACGCCCACGAGTGCACAGAAACAGTGGCTCCCGTGAGAGTGGAGAAGGCTCCTCCCTGACTCTGTACCCTCTCCCCCACCAAAGATAACCACCCTGATCTTTTACCATTACCATTCCTTTGCCTTTTTTTTTAACCTGCTTAAATTCGTGAAACAGGATCTATGTACAGCAGTGTGCATGAAACTTACATGTACTTACAAGTAATTACAAGGTGAATTCTCTAGTAACCGCCCCCTCCGCAACCTTGGCCCTCTCAATCCCAATCTCCTCTCCCCTCAACCCGGGGTGATAATTGGACTTTTATTTAAGGTAATCACCTTCCTGCTATTTGCCATCATTTTAGTTCTCATGTACATAACCCTGAACAACTCAGCGTTCGCGTGCTTGTGTTTTGAGCTTCCTAATTTCTAGAGCACCTCTCTGCCTTTTCTCTGAGTCTTTCAAAGTATCTCAGGGATGCTAGGATTCCCTTTGCCAAATCTGCAGCCTCAAAATCCAGGCAAGAGGTCCAGGCCATGCTACATTGTTACAATTACATTAGGAGGATTAGGACTAATAAAAACCATGATAAGGCCTCTTTCTGGTGTGCCCCCATGGCGCTGGGCATTCTGCTGAGCGCTGTCCCCCATTGTTTCATTCATCCTCAGAGCAAACCCACAGGGAGGTGTTGGGGCCTCTCATTTCTGTTTTAGAGATGACAAAACCGCCACTGCCAGGACTGTCCCCTCATCTGCTTCCTAGATGCTCACTCCCAGGGACTCAGCTCTAAGTCCTGATTCTCTGGAGGGTGGGCAGAAGCAGGCACTTCACTGACTTCCATCTGCCCCTCCCATGTTCGTCTCTCGGTGACCACGCTGGGCTGCTTTTAGATGTTACAGGAACAACAAGAAACATTTGAAGTTCATTTCTTCCAGAAAATGCCAATGCCTTAATGATGACTCCTGTCCATACTGTTCTTCTGATAATTAACATATCACAGGGTCCCAGTGGCGTCTGAGACAGGCTGTGTGGGGGAATGGAGAGCATCAAGGCGAAAGCCCCGAGTTCAAATTCCAACTCTACCACTCGCGGCCTCTGAATCTCTCTCCATGGGCCAACAGTGGCAGCCTTGCCTCCTGTCAGAATTCTGGGAGGTGAGAAACAGGAAATGCTTCCCACGAGCCCAGAGGCCCCTGCAGGCCCCTCTCAGACCTCTCTGCTTGGGTCAAGGACCAGCCTGCAGTGCTGAAAGGGCTCCGAGGGAGACAGTCCAAGGCCACCCATCATTTGACAGACACGAGGATGTCTAGGCAGAGAGGGAGAGGGCGGCACTGAGGGGAGGAAACTCAGGTGTCTCAAACAGACCTGTCATCCCAAACTGTGACAACTGCTGCCATGTGCTGAGTCTGACACCGCACTAAACGCTGTTGATGGAAAGTCTCCTTTAACTCCCTTGGCAGGCGCTCTGGCTACCCTCTCTCGCTGGGAAGGAAACTGATGCTCTGAAAGGTGAAATGACTTTTCCACAGTCACACAGCTGGGAAAAGGCGAAGGCGGGGCGGGGCCAGCAAGTCTGACGTGGCCACCCCCATTTCTAACAGCTGAGCAACACGGGAGGCCCCGCTGCCCCTGGGCTCCCAGGGACTCCAGGACGCTTTGGTGGTTGTTCTGGCCCCACCCATTCTTGCCTCCCCAGAGCGGAGGTCACCCTGCAGCCAAGACGGGATCCCCCAACAGCCCCCACCCTAGGTTTCTGCATCACAAGGCAGAGCGGCCACCCTGGCACGGACAGGTCCTAGGCTGTGGGGAAACATGCAAAACACCCAGGCTAGAGGTCTGTTCCCATGGAGACAGAAGGAGCTCAGACTTCCCCTGAAGGATGCCTTCAGGGGCTAGAAGCCAGCCTGTACCCTGAGGCAGAAACCTGAGCCCAATTCTCACCCCTCTCCTCTGTGCCACCAGCAAATCCTCAGGTCCTCTCTTTAGGACCCCCAGCAAGACAATAATGAGTTCCAGAAATAAGCCTTCCTGGCCCACACCCCTTTCAGCTGCCCTCTGAGGGGCCTCTCTAGATGAAAACGATGCTCCAGGGCCAGCAGGTTTGGCACAGCTGAGGCCTAAGGAATGTGCAGACCCACACGTGTCAGAGAGCCCCGCTGGGGCACAGTTTCAGAAAACAGAGCAAAACAGCCTGTTGGCACCGGCGCAGCCCTCCTGCCTCCCAGCTCCTGACTCCTGATAGCTGTTGGCTGTTCCAGCTATGCAAGAGGCAGGGCTGGACCCTTCAAGAGTCAAGTTCTGTTCTTGGCTGTGTGGCTCTGGGCAAGTAATTCCCCCTCTCTGGACCTGTTTCCTTTTAGTGGATGAAGGAGGCTGTCGAGTCAAGCTCAGAAGGGCAGTGATTTTGTGACATGCTCCCTATTCTGGGAGGACACTCACTTTCCACACTGTCTCCTCCTGCCCTTGTCATGTGAAATGGGGCATGTTCCTGGGGCAGGTAAGCCTCCCCCACTGGAAGCCCTTGGCTGTAAGAGGTCCCTCACTAGTGCCAGGAAGAAGTTAACTGGAAGGGGTTTCAGAGGGGACCAGGAGCCTGGGAGTGGGTCCCAGGGCAGCCTTGGGCCAGAGCTTCAGGGATAAAGTGATAAAAATAATAACTTTCATTATCACCCCACCCCTGCTGGAGTACTCTGCCTTAGAGTTTTGAAGCAGAGGTCAGTGGGCTGCATAGGGCGCTCAATGCTCCTGGGTTGACCAAATGGCCATATATGCCAGGTTCACTGTTTGCAGTCAAGATCTGAAGATCTAGAGAGTCAGCATCCATCTGGGGCTCCCTGAGATCCCGATTTCTGGCCTCACTACCCGCTCCTTTAGAGATGTGGGATGAGGCTCAGAGAGGCTGAGAGGCTTGCCCAAAGCTGCACAGCCAGGGGGGTTCTGAATGGAACTGATCCTGCCTACGGGTGCGACTTCCTCTTCCTACCGCGGGCCCCGGGCTCTCAGGCACTACGGAGCGACCTCGTGGTCGCCAAGAGCGGGGATTCCTGCGGGCGTGCCTCCCAGGCCAGGGACGCGCGGCGGCGCGAGCCCGCAGTGACAGGTCCGCTCGCCCCAAGCGGAGGTAGAGCGAAGATAAGAGGCGGCGCCCAGCCCGCCCGGGACCCGCTGCCCAGGGCTTACGGGCTTTTTCCTGGGGGCCGAACCTCCAGGTTCAGGGAGCAGAAAGGCTGGGGGATTTCGCAGGCGGCAGGGAACGGTTGGGTTTAAACTAAAAATACCCGCCCGCCCGCAGCTGTCACGCCAGGGCCCCCGCCCCCGCGCCGGGCGCGCCTCCCCAGGTCCCCTTGACTTTCAGCGACCCTGGTCGCTGGGGAACGCGCCAGGACTGGGCCAGGGGCTGAGATCCAGTCCCCGTCCCTCCCGGACCCCCGCCCGGCCGCCCGGCCCCGTGCCACTTACCCGGCCGGGAGCGTGCAGGAGCGCGGCGCCACGGGCAGTCCCGGCCAAGCAGCCCTCCTCCCGGCGTCCCGGGCGGCTCCGGAGCGGGGCGGGGCCGGGGCGGGGCTCGGACATCGGCCCCTGCCCCGCCCAGTCCCCTTGGGGACCCGCCACCGGAGCCGCCCCTCTCCCCGGGCCTGCCACTTCGGCCGGGTCGGAGAGGGACGCGCCCCGCTCCGCGCGCTCAGCAGAGGCTCCCGGGGCCCGGTCCCAGCCCGGCGGGCTCCCGAGCGCAGACCCCTTCTCCCCGAGGAGGAAGAGCTATCGTAGGGGCTCCCAACCCTCAACCCTGGCGCTTCGCCCAGGGCTGTCCTCTCTGGCTGGGCAGCCTCTCCGAGCCTAAGTCCCCGCCTGGGTCTCATCCTTGGGGATGACGCGGACGTGCCTCTCCCCTGGGGAAAGTTGGATCTGCGGGGTTCCTCTGTGTGTCCAGCCTTGGGGAGGGGGCTGGGGACCTGCAGGTCTTGCCCTCCCAGAGCCCAGGTTGCGGCAAAGGCTAGGCACCCCTCCTGGAGGCGCGAAATCCAAGGAGGAAGTGACACCTATCAGCCAGCTTGACAGTGGGGGCGCCTCATCCGGCCACTCCCACTCCAGAGTCCCCGGAACCACCACGCAAGGGATCTTCGGGCCCCAGGCTCGGATGAGAGACCCCCAGGATGTCGAGTGGAGGCGATGTGGTGGTGGTGGGGGAGTGAGTCACGAGGAATATGAATCCCATTCATAATCAACCTCCCACAAACCCAAGGCCAAAGAATGTGCCTCCCCTCTGCCTCCCCGCGAGCCCCGCCCCCCAGCGGACACTTCCTCCCACGAGTCCACAAACCCCTGATCCAGGGACTCTGCCAACTCTTTAACCCTACAGCTTAAAGCCGAAATCTCATCCGCCTCTGCCTTTGCCCTCTTGGCACATTCAGGCCTATGGACTGCCCTCCACCCCAGCGCCAATCTTTGTCCGAGTAATTACAGCCTTGCGCCATGGGTTTCCACCGCCTTTGGATAGGGATGACAGCTACTCATAGAGGATACAACTTGCAGAACTCTGCACCGCCAATCTTCACAATTTAGGTGTGGCTACGCCCTTTTGCAGATGAGGAGGTAAGTAACTGTCCCAATCTATTGCTTCCCAGAGGGTGTTTTCCTCTTTGGTTCCTCAGTGAGGCTG